CAAATCTGTTCACAAGCTGTCAACAAGTTGTGTTCGCACTGCTTGTTCCCAGTTGTTGTAACAAGTTTGGAACAAGCTGTTAACAACTTGTAACAAGCTTGATGGCATTATCAGACTTGTTACAAGGTTGTTTTAACAAGTCTGCATGATACAGTCATGATGTAACAAGAATGTTACATGGTTGACGACACAAGGTTGTAACAGTATTGTTATATCATGACTATATTGGACTTGTTGGAACAACTTCGCAATAAGTCTGATGATGCCATCAAGCTTGTTGCAAGTTGTTAACAGCTTGTTCTTGTTACAAGTTATTAACGGCTTGTCCCAAGTTGTCAACAAGTTCAAACTTGTTGACAACTTGGGACAATCAATGCGAGCACAATTGTTGACGGCTTGTTGGCAGACTTGCTACAAGATGTGAGATTTTGCGTGTGCAGGGGATGAAAACATCCAAGTGACGAAAAATGTCGGCTGAATAAGCCGTGGGCAATGCTAAGAATTCTTCGACAACTATTTAGATGGTTCTGTGTCAGAAATAGAGTTGCAAAGTTGCAGCCAAATTTGCCTCGTGTGACATGACCATAAAAAAATTTGTTGCTTTCTAGGTGTCTTACTAAAAACTCCTCAGCAAACATTGAGCTAGAGTTATCAAGACCAGTGTGTCTGGAATTATATCAGGACTGTAAGAACTTGGGAAGATTTATGTTGCGTTACGGAGGAAAGACTATAGCAGCTGGCATAGTCACTGAGGTAATGCGTGAAAGTTTAACCAAGTTTTCCTTAACAATTTTTTTAACAAGTTTTATTTGCTCGTGTGTACTTGGAAACTTGTTGACTCTAAACCCGAGAAAGTAAAGTTGTCAAGGAATTTAAGGAAAACTTGTTCGTCTATTACGGGACCTTATACTGTACTTAGTTGATACACTTGATACTTTTTGTGTGTTTGTGTTGGTGTTATATACTCAGGTGAATATGATGTTTGTGATGTTACTCTGAGTATGCATCCACACGGACAAGCTGAAAAGTTTGCCTTAGGGATGAGCCGATAAGGAAAATTGCCGATTACTGAGGCCGATTATTTATAGGTCAATTATTGTAACTAATCGGCCGATTAATCGGTACCCACCGATTATTTTAAAAAGCAAGGGAAAAATCACAAGATGACCAACAATGAAGTTGTAAATGCGGTTTTATTGTTTACAATACACACTTTATACAATTAAAAACAGCTTCAGTCTCTCATGTCAATAGTCAAAGTTTAAATTTGGCAGATTATGGTGTAAAAACAAGGCACTGTCAGCTATGCGGAACTAGTCTGCTGCGTTTTTTTAGTGGAAATGTTCTCAGCTTCATTTCGCTTGAGACAAAAGACACAGGTTTGGCACTAACAAAATGTGAAAATCTATTCGCTTGTATTCAGTATTTTAGCATGTGATTGGCAGCTGCAGAAAAAGTCTTATGGCCGATTATTTGCCGATTATCAGGCAATAATCGGCCGATTACCGATTATTTAAAAAACGGCCGATTAATCGGCTTTGCCGATTATTCACCGATTAATCGGCTCATCCCTAGTTTGCCTGACCACGGTGGGAATCGTAGCTCAGTTGGCAGAGCATTGGACTAGTATCCCAAAGGTCGCGGGTTCGATTCCCACCGTGGCCAGGCGGTGTGGATGCAAACTCAGAGTATAACAACGCGAACATGATACAATTGAGTTTGTAAGTTCACGCCAACCATGTTTACTGTAAGTTTAATGTAGATTTCGAATTCTAAAATTTAGACTTTGTATTCTAAAATTGTATAATTTTTCGCTCAGAATTCCACCAACAAAAGTCTCTTAAAAAACCAGGGTCAGAGTAGCGAGCGATGATTTGGATGTTTTCATAATTCAACTGAATTACCTCTGACTGCATGCAAAATACTTCTCTTGTTTGTAGATTCGATCTTGACAGAAGTGGAATTTGGAAGGAGAAGATCGGAATTAAATACCATCGTGCCTTTGAATGGACAACGTGACTTGTGTTTGAAATGTGTGCACTGATGACAGTAATAACTTTGCGTGAATGTAAAGAGGAGGGTTGAACGGGGATGAAATATAATAAAATGTATAATTTATCAAACTAAATTATTTAAGTAAATCACAGGGTTTTCTATACATGGAGTAATTAAGCTTTTGCTACACTTACTGGGTGTTTACTGGGGGAAATGTTTTTGATGTTACCTGGGGGTAATGTTTTGGGGGGTAATTGGGGGTAATGTTTCCTGGGGTAATCCTGACATCGTTTCCAAAATTGGCAAAATATATGATATACAGTATCACAGTATGTGTTCTATTTCATCCCAGAGTATTTCCCAGAGTCAGTTTACTTCACAATTTGTTTCGCAGATGGAGATTTTGAGCAGAATTTTTCTCATTGCCATAAAACTATCTGCAATCGCAAAAGCAGTGCATTTTCTTCCCCAGTTCGCATTTTGTTCGCGAAATATTACCAGTAATTTCTTGTTGCCGAATGCCGAGCACACTGACTCTTTGTCTGTGATCACAGCGCTGCCGCCGCGCATTTCATTCCATAGCCTATCGAAGGGAAGATGGCTGTGAAACTGATTAGAATAACAATATATCTCCTTGTCTATGTTAGTCAACGTTTAATCCTACTTGTTGATTGGTCAAATTTGACGTATTAAGCTGTCAGTTTAGTATTTTTGCACAAGTGAACATAACAAATCCTACAAGTTAACCTACAGGTGAATCGAAATTTTCAAAATGGCGGCTAGCCGTTTTGTGGACGTTATACTGATAAAGAAATAAGCGAAATTAAAATAAATTCAGTCCCAAAAAAACACAAAAATACTAAAACAATTATTCGCCTCGGGCTCGGTGATTCCCCGATAATCACCTCGCCTTCGGCGAATAAGTATAGGTTATTTTGAGTCAACGAGGGGATATGTGATTTATTCAAAATAAACACATATCCCCGAGGTGCCTCAAAATAACGTACTTATTTTTCACACTGCGAGGTCGCGTTAATGAGTCAGAAAAGAAATAATTCTTGATGCCATTTTGCCTTCGCGATGTTGTTTTTTCTCATTTTTTGTGCTGCAAAGACATTGCAGGTGAATATTAGAGGGGATTATTAATTGCTGGTGAATATTAGAGGGGATTATTAAACGGAAATTGATTAGAGGAGAATATTGAATATATTCCCCGACAAGAACAAAGGAAACCGAGCAGGGTGAAAAATAATTGTTAAATATTGTTATTCCAATGAGTTTCACAGCCATCTTGCCTTCGATAGGCAATCAATGTTCATTCACTGCAGTGATTTTTCAGTGCTCAAGTTCGCATTTTGTGCGCGAAATATTTCGGCTCCGAACTTCCTGTTGCCGAGCGTCAAACAAGGCGCGGGAATCAACTCCTGGCGTATGGTGTTTTAGCTTTGCTCACTTGTGCAAACTTGATACTTTTTCGTCGCACCTTTGATCGGCGCTTTGTCCTGTCGTTTGGACGAGGTGTTCGACCGCTATATCTGAAAATAACGCCGTTTTTTGAAAGGAAAGCGAAAGAGGTTTACACCGACGGTAAGCTAACAATAACGTAGAGCGGGTAGACGTTTTTAAACGTCCTTAAAAACGCCATGGCCTCTGCTTTGGCATGGCGATTGAGCTTTCCATTCGACGAAGCGGTCGAAGTGTTGGTGACGCACGTGGAAAGAGACTCGGGGAATTTTTTCGTTCAGATCAACAACTCTGACAGTACAAAGCTCGACGATCTGATGGAAGAAATTGTCAGTTTTGCTTCGCGAAGTAGCGGCGATTCTAAGGCGAAACCTTTAAAGGTCGGTGATATTTGCTTGGCCAAATATGTGGATGAAGTATGGTACCGGGGGAAGGTACTGGGTGTCGACAGGAATGGTTTTAAAATTTTCTTCGTGGATTATGGAAATAGTGATTTCGTAGCGAGCAGTGATGCCATGCCAGCCCCGGACAAATTTCTAACCTTGCCTCCGCAAGCGTTCGAATGCGAGCTGGCGAATGTTAGGGCCATAGGTGGTCGATGGAGTACTGAGATGCTTTGTCAATTTGAGGAATTGGTTATAGAACAGACATTTGTCGCCCAAGCTGTTTCATTGAAAACCAACAACGTTCTGGTACTTAGCCTTTTTCAAGACGCAACCATGACCACACTTGCTGTCGAACCTCTCATCTCGGCTGGTTATCTGGAAAGAACCGACGATGTACTTGCCTACGTTCAGAGTGGACCGAATCGTAGCTATGCATTTTTGGAGCTTGATAAATTTAGCTTTGAAGACGTTCATGTTTCGTACTGTGTTAGTCCAAACAAATTCTATTGTTTGTTGCTTAAGAATTCGACCGCATTGCATAAACTCACAGAAGAACTTGAAATTACGTACAGAGAGGCACCCGAGGATGACTACCCGTTGACATCTTGTTGCCAAGACAACCCATGCTGTGCTAAGTTTTCCGAAGACGATATATGGTACCGAGCAATCATCACAAGCGAAAGTCCATCGACATCTGGAGAAATTAACGTGAAATTTGTTGATTACGGCAATTCAGAGAATGTTCATATATCTGATCTCAAGGAACTGGACGACAGATTCCTAGAGTTGCCGATGCAGGCATTGGAGTGCACATTGTATGGTATCCAGCCAACAAATGGTAAAATTGAGTGGCCGCAAGATGCAATAGAATTGTTTCAAACACTAACCGGTGAAAAACATCTTGTGAGTTACTTGAGCAGTGTTGCAAACAATGTTGCCGAGGTGTTTCTCTTTGACACGTCCGAAGAAACAAAAGACATCAATTTTGGTCAAGTACTTGTAGACAATGGCAAGGCTGTAGCAGTTAAATCGTTGACTGATTACAAAAAAGGTCATAATTCCCAACGTAGGAAATCATCTTTTGGTATTATAAACCTCGTACCAAACAGCAGCGAAACGGTTGTTATCACAAATGCTGAATCACCTTCGGATTTTTATTGCCAACTTTTAAAACATTCCTCGGATTTGGACAAACTTATGGACGATTTAAATCAGTATTATGATGCTCTTGGTGATGTTGACGATACCATAACTTTGCCCCAAGCAGGCATGTTGTGTTGTGGTAAATATACAGAAGATGACGGTTGGTATAGATCTCTCATACTGGAATCGTATCTTGCAAATCGGAAAGTGGAAGTGTTGTATGTTGATTATGGTAACATTGAGTCGTTGCCCATAACCAGAATCAAAGAACTGAAACCGCAGTTTGCAGCGTTGCCACAGCAAGCCATTCCTTGTTGTTTATACGGCGTGAGTCCTAGCGCCCCAAGTTGGACCGATCAGGCAATAGAGGAATTTCAGAATGCCATTATTGAAAAAGAACTTGTGATTAAAGTTGTCTCGCACAGTGAAAGCCAGCGTTACAGTGTTAGTCTCATGGAAACTGTTGGAGAAGAAGAGTATAGCGTTAATAAATTGCTTGTTCAGAAAGGTATGAAGATTTATTATGTTCACTTTTTCAGGCCTTGGCAAAGTTTCCTGTTCGTTACTTTCCCATTTGGGGACTTCGTAGTTATTTGTGTGTGTATTGTGAAGTAATCTTAACTCTTTCTCAACAGGGCCCAATCACGTTGATCGCTAGCGATCGACGGCTCAAAATTTCATACTTTCGGTTCAGTGCATGCTATGAAGACAGAAATACCACCATTCGATTCAGAAATAAAAAAAAAACTAGTTCCAAACGATAGTTATAGTCATTATTAGCATTGTAACGATTTATGGGCCTTTGAAGGTCAAAACGATCATATTGTATCAAATTATGCAATTGTCTGAACAAAAATACAGATTATTATAGACTAGCCATACCTTTCGCCGAAAATAACTTCGGCCCCATCGAACATATCGTCTTTGTAATAGTCTTGTTCGAATCCCCATTAAATAGTGTTTTTGGAGTGTTATTTGCAACCCTGAATCTACAAATCTGTATCTTTTATCAATATATTTCCATTTCTTGTCCGACTGTGAGCTCAAAGTGAATTAATCCCAACCGGAAATACGACTGAAAACCGTCAAAACAATGCGGCGTTTGTATCGTATGACCCTGGAAAGGCCAGAAATGGATTCGCAAGGTCAAATTGCACCTACACGCGTGAGTTTGACGTCATCCCGGCCAAAGGAGCTTCTTATTGGCCAATTATTGCGCAATGTACGCAAGTGCGAGTAAAACCCGACACTTGAAAAATTAAAAATAAATATTTCTAGTCGGCGTATACATACGAAACTTTCTACACGAAAGCGCTTGAATACAGTGAGTATTTTACACGTATAGCCGTTCAGCAAATGACGAAAAGTTCAAGGGGTATTCAAGATTTTGTGGATATGAAATTTAGAATCGTTGGCCAAGCGGTGAGTAAATATATGATTGTTTCGCTTTGTGTAATGTTTTGACGGCACTTGACCCCCCGTTCGAAAGGTTATTTTATGAGGATTTCAATTTATTTAAAAGGGGGGTAAATACTCGCCGAGATATTTATATTAGAAAAATTGTATCGAAATGTAATAGGAAACCGGTTGTCGAGAAAGAGTTAAACTAAAATTAAAGTTTTACCAACCAGAAATGATTCGAGCAAGTCTGCAACAGTGAACATGTGAGCAAGTGTACATTTTCCATAAATGTTCTTGGGCCCCCTTTGTTTTGCCCCCCCCCCCCAAAAAAAAAATTCCCAGAAATTGGGG